AACCGTGGATTGTCTTAAATTTTCGGTTCCCCTTCCCCAGGCACTTATTTCTCCATGTTATGCTGTCCCCTTGCCCTTGAAGCACTCCTACTTTTTCCCTCCAACTTTTCCCTATCTGCCTATCTTTCTGTAAACCTTACCTCGCTCTTTTTAATTTTATTTTCTTGTTTATTTGAAGTATTGAGGTTTTTTTATTACACTCTGTAGGCATTGTGTTTTGTTCTATGAAGCTATGCTGGAAGGGATGTCTAAAAGGAATCGTATTTGAGGGTTACCATTGGAAACGAAGGGATGCTGGACTGGGATGAAACCTTTTTCCTGTTGGTATTGCTTTGGTAGTTGGGGTGTTAGACTGGATGCAATTAGGACAAATAATTGGTCAGCTTTTCTTCTCTCTTCAAGTGATACTTAAGCCAGGGAAGTCTGGAGTCAAATGAAGGATACAAGAACGCCCAGAATGTCCTGGTCTTTGTAAAATGCTGTGATTTAACAGTGCGTTCCCAGCTTTACTACTGGGAAAGTAATTTCTAAATGCTAAAAACCGGTAATGCCATAGATATTTACCTTAATTTCCTTTGTAGGACTGGAAAAATCAGGTTTGCTGATATCATAGAAAGGCACCAATTTAGACTGCTCATTCAGTCTTCTGGCTCTGAGTATCTGTTGAACATTATTAAATGTTGTTAATTATGTCACTAATTCCATATGAAACCAAGGACTGTTTGGGCATGCAGGAACCAAAGCCTTACAGTTGTAATATGACTACGAACCACCGATAGCTTGTGATATGTCTCCAAGCTGTTGTCCTTGAACCTTCTACCAAATAAGCCAATTAGGTAGGATTTCAGTAGCAACCGAACTTGACGTTTCAAAACACAATACTTTCAGTCATGTTCCTTTGATGTAAAGTTTAATGTCCTTGTCACTGATTTAGAACTTTTTCTTGCTGGGACTGTTATTTTTTGAGTGGTACTTTCTGGGCTTAGTGCACAAACACCTGGGTTCCTTGAGGTTTGTAGGAAGTAGAAGATAACTGGAGGGTTCCAACTTGGAGAACCTCATGGTGTCAAGATCCTCTCCTATATCTCTGAAGATGTGGAGGTTCAGTTCCCATCAAAATGATCATTATAACATACCTAGACTTTGGATACCTGAAGTGCTGTCATGTTTCTCCATCTCTTTATAGTCTTTTTGCCCTGTATGGTGGACAGCCAGGAAAAGGAGGGCTGGAAGGGCTCCACAGAGTCTGTGAACATCTCTCTCATGCCCTGGCTTTTGTACAGCCTGATCATGGATCTCCAGCCCAAATTCTACCAAGCACAAAGGTTAATGGTTTACTCATGCTGTGTCTTCCAAGATCTTGGTCTAAATCCAGGAGGTTATAGAAAACAGGCAGTGGGCCTTCGGGGAGGGGGCATCTGCTACTGCAGTAACTGAGCTGTGCTTTCAGAAACACCTAGTGCCTGGGTGTTCTTGGCAAAGCTTTGGTGAAGATATAAAGGCGATTGAAACTGGCAGAAGGCTTTTAAAAAAGGATATAGCAAAATTTAATGTAGACAATTTTAAGTTATATCCAGTAGAGGAGATCTATAAATAATAATAATAAGGCATGTTTAATAGGAGAGTTAATCTTCTGAAACACAGATGCAAAGAAGTTCAGCCTTGTGCCTAAATGAGAGTAGGTCGTGATGGACACAGACAATGACATAATAGTCCCAGTTTAGCTGTTTTTCCCAGTGTTTATGGGGAATTTGAGGAGTCTGGCCTAGCAGTGTTAAGAGCCGCAGACGGACACTGCTGCTTGTATAAGCTATAGGCATCTAAAGAAACGGCTTTCATGTTCCCCTGGTGATGAAGTGAACATTCATAAACCATCACAGGCAAGTGGATGAATAAAATGCATTGAATGTTGGCACAGAAGCCAAGGGCTGCACTGAAGCCCCTCTTAAATAGCGATGTGTTCTCGTGCCTGGCCAGTTAGGAAGCGTCTGAAGATAATGTGAAAATTCAAACCTATTTTTACATGGTGCATAAATGTGCAGGGTCACAGAACTTAAGGTCCCTCCCCACCCCAGAAACCCCCAAACCATTTCTTGAAGGAACAGATGTCCCTCATTCATTCCCCATACAGACAAAACCAGGATTTGTTGTCAGCAGAACCGATGTTGCTAGCTGGTTTTGTCTACGATTGTTAATTCTTTCATGTAATCTTTAAAAGCAATGCATTAATAATAGCTATTAATAACTGGCCTTTGATGCTCCAACATTACCCAATTTAAATTGGTGTGAGGCACCACATTGCTTGCTTGGACCGTTGCGGTTAATTACAGCTCATGAGCCTGCCTTAAGCATCACATGGAGAAGAGAAGGCTGAGGGAGGATCTGATCAAATACTTCAAGGGTGGGTGTCAGGAGGATGGGGCCAGTCTTTTTTCAGTGGTGCCCAGGGACAGGACAAGAGGGAACGGGCACAAATTTGAACATAAGACGTTCCACCTAAACCTGAGGAGGAACTTCTTCACTTTCAGGGTGGCAGAGCCCTGGCAGAGGCTGCCCAGAGAGGTGGTGGGGTCTCTGTCTCTGGAGACATTCAAACCCACCTGGACATGTTCCTGTGGGACCTGCTCTGGGTGGACCTGCTTTGGCAGGGGGGTTGGACTGGATGATCTCCAGAGGTCCCTTCCAACCCCATAGCATTCTGTGATCACATGTTGGTGCTCAACATCTCAGCAAAGTGATGCGTACAATGCTTGGCTGTGGTGAGCCATCCTCCTCAGGAGAAGAAATGAATGTCTTTCACAACAAATTACATAGCTTTTTTTATGGTTAACATCAACTGTTTCTTTAATCCTCAAACCTGTACGAGGCTCTGAAAAGGCTTTACAATTTGTTTCATAACTTGCATAATTTTATGAGTTATTTTAACAATGGTTTTATAGACAAAGTTTCTAGGCAGTTTGAAATGACTCCATACACGCACATACCATCAGGTAGGTACACCTCCTATGGACGCTGATGGAGTCAGTTGGAATAAATTAATTCCTATAAAACCCTTTTCAATTAGATGTTTTGACCTCGTAATCTCCCTGCAGAAACACGAGGCTTTTGTAACCTCCGTGAGACTTACAGCCCTTATAATCCTGATACCAAGGTGGGATTTCTTGCCTGTCCTTTTAAATGTTTCATCTTCGTGATGCTGTCCCGCAGCCTTGCTGCTCCTTTTGTCTTCTCCTCTGTGAGCTCCTCGTCTGTGTGTTGTGATTGATTCATTGGGATGATTCACAGGCGCTGAAAGCTCCAGACAGATGAATCTGTTCCTATTAATGGTATTCGTGGGAGTAAACATGAAAATAATTCCTTATGTATTATTAAATCCTGTGTACCAGATTTTTAAGCCTGAAGGATGATCCTTGAGCTGAGTCAGGACCTTGGTCCCAGGGTGTCCACCCTCTGTTAGCAACACTCAGTGTCTGTCTCACTCTTTTAAGCTTATTTTCTTGTTGGCTCTCCTGAAAAGGAGATTTCTTTCTCCACCCACTTATTTTTTTGGGTAAGGCTGGCTCCCACCTCAGTGCACAGAAGCCCATTGAATACTTGCTGCAGCCAGTTCTACAGCCACCACCTGGTGCAATCTGTGAACCCATTGCCTAAGCCCAGCCAGATGCCCTTCCTTGGTCCCAGAAATGGCCAGCAACCAACTGGGGCTGCCAGAGCTTCCTCCTGGTGTGGGGTTCCTGGCTCCTGTCCCCTCCATCCCAGCACTGCTGGCTCACCACCCATCTCCCTGCCTCCACGCCCAGCCCTGACTAAGGTCTTTGGCCAGGAGTTGGCATCTGCCTTTCAAATCACTTCCCTGAGCAGCTGGTCCTCCAGAGACACCCACCAGCTCTGCTCCTGCAGCTGGGTGAGGAAGGGCATCTTGTCCTGCCCATGCAAAGGTTTGCTCCTCAGTCCCATAAAGGTTTTCCTGGACCTCTGTATTTATCACCTGTTCTGCTAGACTATTCCTCTCTTCCCTGGTCGCTTCTTCAAGTCATCCTTCAGCCTTTATCTGACTTGTGGGGCACAGTGGTCTAAGGAGGTCTGCCCTTCGCCTTGGGTCAGTGCTTCCATTACACGGTATTTTTTCCTGCAAAACTCTGGGGAATCCATAAAATAAATATTTATATTACAGTATAAGTACAGCTTATTTATATTTATTCCTAAGAGGAAAACATGGACCTCTCCAAGATGCTGTGTAGGGTAAATAACAAGCAATTAATTTAAGAATTGGGTTGGACTTTGCAGTGAGTGAGCTGTGGTTCTATCAGAGCAGCTCCTTATAAAATGAAATTATAGATGGGAGGGTACAGGTGGCAGTGCCCAAAACCCAGAGGACGAAAACATCTTTGGCCGTGCCAGGGGACTGCTTGAGAAAGGTTGTGTTTTGCAGATGATGTTCCCATAAACCTCACGAGAGGAAAAGGGGAGCAGGAAAGACCGGGGGGAGCTGGGGGACAGGTTGTGTAGCTTCTCCCATCAGCCAGAGCATTCCTGCCTTTATTAGCAGCTTTCAACTGCCAGCCAATGCTGATTTAATACTCATGCTTTTTTTTTTTTTTTTTTTTTTTTTTTTTGGGTATGAATTGTTGCTTAGTCTCGTTTTTGCATACTTCCTGCATGACTAATTAATGTACCCAAATGACTGAAACGGTGGTGTTAAACTTTACGCTCGTGTGTGCAAACAAACGGCTGGAAGTCACAGCTCTTCTTCTTCCATATTTTATCTAATCTTTGCATTCTCGGGGATGGGGTGTGTGGGGGGGGATGACTCGTTATCTAAAAGCCACTTAACTGAGCTAAAAACGTGATGTCACGCTCCGCTGAGTACGTGTAGGTATTTATGTTCGGTCCGTTGGGAAACAGACGTGGATCCAGGGCGATACACGTAATTACATTCTTTTAATGATAACGAAACCCGCTCAGAGGTTGGCGAGAGATGAAAACCCGCAGCCTCCTCGCACGGGGAGTTTTTTTTGCTGGAGTAAAGCCTCCTGTAACGTTACGCTGGGATAGAGCCGGGGTGATTCATCGCTGGGAAGGCACTCCCAGCCGGAGCAGAGAGTTAGGAATCACTCGCCTCTCACCCTGGCATCAGCCCCTCCGAGCGGAAAAACCTCTGGGAAGAAGGTAACCCCTCAGCTGGGCGAGTTTATATTTCATATTTTGGGTAGTGCTGGCTCGGGTGCTGCGATTCCACTCCCCTTTTTGGCTGCTCCTCCCCCCCCCTACCTCCCCTGCTTTATTTACACTTTATCGTCCCGTAGATTCTTATTTATTTTTTCCCCCGCTGAAACAAAGAGGGCTTGTGTAAGAGTAGAATAACAACCTAATTGTTTGATACACCGATGTATGCTTGAAATAATCCGGCATCTAATTTTTTAACGAAGCATGAAAGAAAACTAGAGCTCAGCGGGATCCGTGCTGGGGTGAAGATCCTAATCTTCCCCTTTTCCAGCGGCGGGGAGCGCGTTGGGGCGGCGGAGGAGCCGCTGGTCCCGGCGGGGAGCCCTGCACATCCCATCCCGACACCCCCAGGACATGGCAACCTCTGTCAGACCCCGGGGGGGGGACCTTCCTGGGGTCCCCCAACACTGCTGAGGGCACGATGGAAACCCCCTGAGCCACCCCGCCAGAACATACAGCGTTGCAAAGGTACACCTCTATATACTGCATAAAATATCTTATTTTTTTAACCCTTTTTTTCCCCTTATTGCAGCAAAAAAATGTGACGATCTTAGTCTAAAAGTCACTTTGCTTGACATATACTTAAAAAAAACCACACTGTGCGTTGTGCAAAGTGAAAGGTAAACCAGAATATTTTCTGTTTATTCCACTCTCTGATGGATTATTAAAGCCCCAACATGAGAATTAGTCGTCCCATGCAGGGAGCAGCCCCGGAGTGGTACTTGAGCCAGGGGCAATGATAGGTAGGGCTGGTTCTGCCCCAACCCCAGTGTGGTGCTTTGGACCTGGGTGCAAGTTTTTGGGTGGTTTTGGGTGGTGGTTTTTGTTTTTTGTTTTTTGTTTTTTTTTTTGAGAGCCTGCTTATGAAAATGTAGTTCCTTCCAAATTGTTTTCCAAAGTGAAAGGTAAACCAGAATATTTTCTGTTTATTCCACTCTCTGATGGATTATTAAAGCCCCAACATGAGAATTAGTCGTCCCATGCAGGGAGCAGCCCCGGAGTGGTACTTGAGCCAGGGGCAATGATAGGTAGGGCTGGTTCTGCCCCAACCCCAGTGTGGTGCTTTGGACCTGGGTGCAAGTTTTTGGGTGGTTTTGGGTGGTGGTTTTTGTTTTTTGTTTTTTGTTTTTTTTTTTGAGAGCCTGCTTATGAAAACGCAGTTCCTTCCAAATTGTTTTCCGAGTAAAAGGGAATGAAAAAGTGATATACGCTGTGAGCCTGCAATAGAGAAGTGCATCACTGGTGTAAAAGGTAGTTCCTTCCAAATTGTTTTCCGAGTAAAAGGGAATGAAAAAGTGATATATGCTGTGAGCCTGCAAAAGAGAAGCGCATCACTGGTGTAAAAGAACTTCTCGCTCATCCTTGTTATTTAAAAAAAAAAATCACTGTGAAAAAAGTTAAGTTGATTTCTTAGACAAATATTTGAGTTTCCAATCGTAACTAATAGCTGCCAATATAATCAGCAAGCTATTATGATTCTATGATTCTAAAAAAAATATATATATTGCTTTCTTAGATAAATATCTTTCTTCCCAATTGTAGCCAGTGCACACACTCTTTTTCTGCTAAAATCCACTTTTTTTGGAGACCATATTGGCAGCTTCTTAATGGTAATTGCATTCTATAGCTAGTGCGATAGAAAACAGTAAATTACATCACTTGCTAATATAACAGGCACGTTTCTGTGCTTCTATATAATTTTTTCATGCGTCCATGTGATTTTTTTTATACCTTGGAAAGTTAATTAGTAATGGATATTGACAGGTAGGAAAACCTGCATAAATTGTGGGACTCTCTGCAGGAGTATCCGTTGAATACAGTATATTATTAGGTGTGTACTTGTTGATTTTTATAGCTTGGGACATCCAGGCTGCACAGAAGGGCTGTGGTTTGTCTTTTTACTTATATGGGATTCATTGTAAGGCCACGCCAGAGCAGAGGGATGATGGTTATCATGGACTGTGAACACAATATATGTGTCCACTCCAAAAAATAGTAATAATTAAAAAATTTTAATTAGTAATGGATATTGACAGGTAGGAAAACCTGCATAAATTGTGGGACTCTCTGCAGGAGTATCCGTTGAATACAGTATATTATTAGGTGTGTACTTGTTGATTTTTATAGCTTGGGATGTCCAGGCTGTGCAGAAGGGCTGTGGTTTGTCTTTTTACTTATGGGATTCATTGTAAGGCCACGCCAGAGCAGAGGGATGATGGTTATCATGGACTGTGAACATGATATATGTATCCACTCTAAAAAAAATAGTAGTAATTAAAAAATGATGTTGCCTCAGAGAGCTTGTTCTGTGGAAATATGGTTAAAAAAAAGTTAAATAAATATCTCAGTGTGAACTGGGTGGAGATCCCCAGCGTGGCCATTAACATACCTCCAGAATGATCTTTGTTGAATTTTTTTTTAATGCTTTTATTGCTGTGGAAACCCCGTTTTGCACAGAGATAGGGCTATCTGGATGCATCAGAGCTGAGGGCGGCCGCTGGACGGGGGTGTCAGGAGGTCAGGCTGGCCCCAGCGTCCTGCTCCGGCATCGTGGCTGCCGAGCCCCCAGGGTTTCAGACCAACACATTTGGATTCCTGGCATGGAAATGTAACAGTGCCATCCATAGCGAGCTCTGAAATGAAAAATGAGACATTTCTGCTTGTAGTGAGTGAGGAGCTTGTAGGTTCCATGTGTTGGTGGAGAGAAGGTGTCGGGATGAGGTTTCTTCACCAGATCCGTGTCTGCTTTGCTGCGGAACAAGGTAAAAATAAAGCCTTAGATGAGGTGCTTACGGGTGGGTGATCGCTGCAATAATAACAGTGATTTGGCTCATTAGTAGGGCTCAGATAAAACGATTCCCAACGCCCAACTGAGGAGTTATGCAAACGCTGAGGACAGGCTGGTCTCACCCTGCCAGATAAAACGATTCCCAACGCCCAACTGAGGAGTTATGCAAACGCTGAGGACAGGCTTTTAATCAGGCTGGTCCTGAGGTCTCACCCTGTTCCTCCTGCGTGGCCCGGGAGGTGCCAGCGGGGAGGGAATCTGACCCTCTAGGTTTCCACTGGATTTGTTTTTTTTTAGGTCAGTGCTGACATAAAAAACATTTGAAAAGCCATCCTGGTTGTATTACAGTAGAAGACTTGTTCGCCGTAAATCTAAAACTTTATTTATGCGTCAGTGATCCGCTTGTTTAATTATCTGGCGTTCGCGTGTCTGATCTTGAGTCTGATTTCCTCCCACTCTCTGGTGCAAAAGGCAAAGTATAAGTTACAAGTAGTTTGGAAATAGAATAATTTGGGTTTCTTTCCAGTTTTTGCTCATGAGTCGGGTTGGAGTTTTCCAATGGAAACCCGAGTCTAAAGCCTTTGATTTGTCCTGGCTTCCCATTACTGTTAGAAACAGGATCGATGGGCACGCTGATGACTTAAGGAGTGCTAGAATAATTGCTGTACATCCTTCAAGATGTTATTTAGCCGTGTATGAACCTGACCGCGGTGAGCTATAACCACCCGACCCTTCCTTTTCCTGGCCCCCACATCACGTTTAGTGTCTGTCACATTGATGTGATGGGACAGACAGAGCAACTGGCAGGGGTCAAGTGATACAAGAGCCAAGCTCGGGCCACGGTGAACCCCGCAGAAGAGCCTGAAGCCTGTGTCGGTGCCGCCGACGGTTCGGTTCGATAAAGCTCAGCAAGACATATTGGGTTAAAACGAACTCATTTGCCTGAAAACAAACTCTTTATTTTAATCCCAGGGTGGCTGATGTGGTCCCTGGGTAAAGCCTGGGTATCTCGATGGCTGGTGGGTATCTTCTTGTTGTAAATGGATATTTACCGGGTGATAATAGCACAAAGTAGGCGGTAAAGTAGAATTGCTGGTACTTCTTTGGCACTCTGAATAGACCTTTACATTAGACAGTACCTCCTTGTGATATAATCAGTGAGGAAGGACAAGAGTACAAATATATTCCGTGTTTATTTCATCTTTTTTAAAAAATTAGCTCGGATTCCATGATTTTTTGGGAGGACGGGATAGTTTGAACAAGACTTGTTGGAATGCCACCTTTCTTTTATAAAGTTAATAATTCTTCATAGTTTTCCTTGTTGCCAAGTATTGTAGCAGCTGTAGTAGACCTTCGATGTATGTTTTCCATCAGTAAATTTATCGTGTAGAATTGCTGGTACTTCTTTGGCACTCTGAATAGACCTTTCCATTAGACAGTACCTCCTTGTGATATAATCAGTGAGGAAGGACAAGAGTACAAATATAGTCCATGTTTATTTCATCTTTTTTAAAAAATTAGCTCGGATTCCATGATTTTTTGGGAGGACGGGATAGTTTGAACAAGACTTGTTGGAATGCCACCTTTCTTTTATAAAGTTAATAATTCTTCATAGTTTTCCTTGTTGCCAAGTATTGTAGCAGCTGTAGTAGACCTTCGATGTATGTTTTCCATCAGTAAATTTATCGTGTTCTTTGTTGTGTGGTGTGACCTGCTCGAGAGAGAAGCGTCTTTCTTATCCCTCAGTGGCCATATGTTCATATGTTCGCAGCAATAATCATTGTTTTCTGTTAAGTGCCAGTATTTGGTCTGTTGAGCCTTTGTGCGTGGTACTTTATTGTCCCTGATAGCATATGTTCATATGTTCGCAGCAATAATCATCGTTTTCCGTTAAGTGCCAGTATTTGGGTATGTCGAGCCTGTGTGCGTGGTACTTTATTGTCCCTGATATAGTTTTTATAAAGCTGCTGTGGAAATTGTGAGAGTTTCACCTTACATATGTAAGGCAGGACCATTCATCGTGAGCCATTCTTCATTGTCAACATCTTAGATATTTTTGACGTTTGTATACTGAGTAAAATCCCAGTTTATCACTTGGCACGTGTTTAAAAAAGAAGCAGGTTCTGTATCAATGTCTCTGCCCTCTGTATGTATGTCACACAGCTTTGTGCATACGTGATGCCCAGCTCAGACCCTTCTTTGGTGCCGCGGGGCGTGATTGGGTCTGAATCCACAATATTGCTCTTTATTTGGCTCGCGGCGGTGCCAAGGGACTGGGTGTCTCTCAGAAGGGAGATGCTGCAGATGCACGTAGCGGGAGCTGCGCCTCGTGCCAGGGCTTTACTTTGCTGCAATACTGGGAAAATTCTGCCTCGGAAACCTGGGAGCTGAATATTGGGATGTGCTTAGGGTGAGGATGTAAAAATATCCTGCGTGCTGCTCGGTCGGTGTGTATTTCTGAGCAAGCTGCCTCTTTGCCTGGCTTTATATAAACAGCTAAATATGCTATATAGGATGCTAAATGTGATGGGAAGGGATGGGAGGGAAAGAGCCAATTATACTTAAAAGTTTTGCTGTGGCCTTTTTCCTTTTATACGTTCGTACAGTATAGAAAATTCCTTGTTAATTCTGTTTAAATTCTGGAGGGTTCTTATCTGACCTTTCATACTCTTCCTATGCA